GTGCGCGTACTTATCCCAAGACTTCAAAAATTTATCGGCATAAACCTTAACTTAGTGTGTAATTCTTAACGAAAACTTAAATAATTGAAATGTATATGTTGTATTACAATAACTTTTAAACTTATTAAAATATAAACTAACAGAGATTATTGAAGTGACAAGAAGCTTTATATTATTTAAATAAAATCTTGAGTTCGAGTCATGTATGTAAAATATTTTTAATGATATATTAACTCACATTATTTAGAGCACGATCTGAGCTGAATTGAATTGAATGGAAAAAAAAAAAATGTCATATTATATCTTAATTTTATGGTATTCGTAAACCAAAATTTTCCTAGTAGTTTTGGTGAAAGCGTGGGTGGTGTTAAGTGCCAAGAAGACGGTGACTTTTACTTAAAATAAAATTCATTAAAGAAGTTTAAAAGCATCTTTTTAAATTTAATCTAAACCGTTCATGTTTTAAGAAGCCAAAATAATTGATGGGATTTAATTAATAGACTGCAGGTGGACCAAAATTAGTTGGACCACCAGAGTGGATCGACCGTTGATATGATTTTATATAAAAGATAAATCATTAAAACAAGAAAGAGAAAATGATATATAATTAAGAGTTTTTGTCGTTACTCCAACGGTGGAGAGGATGGTGGACTAAATTTCTAAAATTAATATTCGTAGGCATTGATTGATGGTGGGGTACGACGTGCTGCTCAGAGTCCAGCTTTTAGCCAAAGGTTCTGTACGTGCCTCGCTTATTTTTTTCTTAAGTGTTTCGCTCACATGAATTGCGATGTTTACCAAAAAGATATAAATAAAACAATAGGAGAAGTAAGGAACATTTTTTTATAAATAGAAATATGAGATTTTTTAAACTTCATATTCTTGATATTTTGTAAAAAATTTTATATTTTTAGAATTTTGAAAAAAAATAAAAAAAATTTTAATTTAAATACTTTAGTTTTTATCAAAGGAAAAATGGTTTTTGTAACCTTTTTCTTTCTTCTTGTGATTTAAAACAGAAGTTGATTATTTTAAAATATAAAAAGAATTATCCAAACGCATGTGTTGCTTGCATGCCCGCCACAAAAGAGCCTGATAAAGTTTCACTTCATCTGAAAATAAATTAAATTTTGTTTTTTTTATAATGTTTATTTTCGATATGAAATTTGTATATATTTTTTCATGAAATGCTAAGTAAATTTTTTTTGCTATATGTAATTTATTTATTATCGTTTCTTATAAAAATATTTACGAAAATAGCATTATTTCAACAAAAAATAATATTATTATTAGTGATTTCAAAGATTATAACATAAAAGGGTCGGCTAAATAGTAAACCTTAAAATATAGTTGCTAAATAATATTAACTATTGATAGTAATTAATACTGTTATTTAAAAATTATTTATTTTATAATTTGACAATTTCAAATTAAAAAATTACGATTATTTATTACTAATTATGAATTTTTTAAAATTTTTTAAACAATATTTAATACACAACATAAAATGATTCACATGCTTAATGATCAATGTATCAACATAACTTAATAAATTATAATATTTTTAATGAACTAAAAAAAATTGTTATTACTTAAAACATATTCTATTATTATTAATTATATTATATATTATTAATTTTTTAAAATAATTAATAATATTTTATTAAAGATCAACTATATTAATGATAAAAGAGGAAGAAGATCCAAGTACAAAAAAAGTTAAAGGAGGAGATTAATCCTTTTCTAAGTACTATTCTACCCCTATCTCATATGTAGATACTCTAGAAGGAGCAATGAATTTAAAAGAAAAAATATCATTGGAATTTCAAGGGAGATGAAGGGAATGGAAAGAAATAAAAGTAGCTAAGGATCATAGAGGTGGAAAATCAATTGGGCAATTATGAGTGTCTATCCTTTTTTCCTATCACAAAGGGAGGAAGAGCACATATATAGACCATGGCAGAATAGTTTTAGTCAAATTGTTAAGAAGAAAAATTGAGTATAAGCTTTAGAGGTAAAATTAAGGCAAATGTGGGTGAAGAATGGACTAACTTTAATTATTGACCTTAGACACGACTTCTACTTGGTGAAATTTACTAGGAAGATTATCGGAAGGCATTGAAGGTGGTCCATGGATTATTTATGATCATTACCTTAAATAAGAGATTGGAGTCTGGACTTTCACCCTTTTAACAACTTCCATTAAGAAGGTTGGTTTTGGTGTGCTTTTAGGGATTGCCAACAAAATATTATGATGCAGAAGTGTTAAGGATGATTTGAAAAACAATAAAAGTCAATTAAATCACAATAATTTCTCAAGAGAGAGAAAAGTATATGTAGGAGTGTTAACGTAAACTTGATTATATTAAGTTGTTACAGCTCAGTCATTAACATAAGCTCTTCACTTAACTTTTGTGTAAATGTGTATATATACATACACCTGTTGGCTATATTTTTTGAATTAAAAACATATAAATTATTTTTCTATATGGTATCAGATTAAGCCATTTGCATTACTAGCTTTTCAACCAATCCAATGACAACATCTTCTTCAACCTTCAATAGTGTTGTTCGCACTGCTCAGTCCTATGATTCCAAGGACTTAATAAAATTTAGCACTGTCATTCAATTACCTATTAAACTCTCCTTTTCTAATTATCCAGCATGGTATCAACAAATTCATTCTTTCCTTGTAGCTTGCGTCCTTGACAGCTACGTGGCATAACACCGTATCCATTCCAAACAATTACCACTTATGTTGGCCCTTCACCAAACCCAGATTGTTTTTGGATGCGTCAAGACAAATATGTTTACATTGCCTTTCTCGGTTCTTGTGATGCAAAAGCATGTGTTGTAACATCTACAACTGAGACATCATGCCATGCTTGGCTAACCCTTGAACAAGCCTTTGTTATTAGTTCTCGATCGTGAGTCATGTCTCTCAAAGAATGATCAACTCCATTACAAAAAACTTATCAACTGTAGCTGCTTATTTGCAATCAATTAATAGCTCAGATCATAGTTCTTTTTTTAAACAAAATGAAAAGGTTCCAAAATATAAAAAACAGTTTATATCATAATCTTAAAATTTGATTACTTACTATTTTGTACCGTAAAATTTAATTTAAAATTGAAGCAAAACTTCTACTAATCCCTTAAATCAACTAACATAATTATAATAGTTTCGAGTTTTATTTTTATTGATAAATTTTTTTATCTACTTAGACTTGTCAATGTGAGTTATATAATTTATTTTTTCTTTAATATAAACTCTTTTTCTTAAACTTTAATTTTAGTGAGTTACTTTTTACCTTCAAAAGTGAGTTAACGCTTTTTTTAAAGTAGTTAATAACTGTTTTATTATTTTTTTAATAAAAAGTGCATGTGTTTGTGTATAATTTTTATTAAATTATTTTATTTAAAATTAATTAAAATTATATTTTAAATATAAAAATATGTTGGTAAAATAAAAAAATTAGTATTTATTAAATTATAATAAAAATTTATCATATAAAATAATATAAAACATAATTAAAGAATATTATAAAATATTTTATTATGTTATTAATTTAGTTTTTATATTTGTTTAATTTTTAATTAAATTTAACATAGTATGTTAGTCATTTATTATTTTAATTAAAAATTATAAATAAAAAATTAACTATATAATAATTAAATGATAAAATAATATTTTTTAAAATAAGTAAATAAAGTAACAATAATATAATTTAAATAAAAATAAAGGATAAAAATTAAATTTTAATCTTTATTTTAGTTATCCAGTCAATTCTAATTTTATTTTTATACTAGAGGCCGCTTAGACTCCAATAACTTATTTAGTTTTATTATAATTTTTTTAATTTTTAAAATTTAGAAAACAACAATGTGATTAGTTATTATTTTGTTATCCATTATTTTAAAAATAGTTATTAAAACATCAACTTTAAATACTACTCTTTCCGGTACTTTTTATAAAAAAAAAAATGAGATATTTTTTTATTATAAAAAATAAATAATAAATTCAAGATGTATTAATTGTTAAATTTTTTTAATATTTTTTATTAGTATTAATTTAGTTTTTTATTTTTTATAAGAAAGACTTAAAAAGAGTGTAATTCAGAAACATTTAAAAGATGCTTTTGGACTGATTTTTATGACATAATAACACAATATAAATGAGTAAATTCATTAATTAAAGTTTGATGATAAGTATACATCAATTTTTAAAACTGTTGATATTGATAGGCAAATAATTCATCTGTTTCCCAAATCCCATAAGTTATCTTGCCAAACAAATCTTTTAATAATTTTGTATTCAAAAATTGATCACAAACAAATTTTTAGAACAATTTTTAAAATTGAAACACAAATAGAAATAAAAAAGCAAGGCCTAAAATATTGAGAACTTTTATTTATATTTTATAGTAGTCTTTATAGTTTTTCGCTCTCGTACTCAAGATCCGTTTACCATTTCCTTGTCTAAAATATCTAGCCAGAGTACGAATATGAAACTTATACTCAGTACAAATATAGATACAAAATACGATAATGCTTAAATTAAAGGTACAAATGTATTAATTTTTAAACAATATAAACGAAGAGTATAAATATTTATAGATTATTGAAAAATATTTACAATAAAATAATTTAATAAACTCATATTGCATATCTCATATGTAAGGATTAATAACTTTAATTAAATAGAAAAATAAATGAGAAAAAAATCAAGAAAAAGGTAAAATAATATCTAAATATTTACTTGAAAAATAATTTTTTATGAAAAAACTTGGCCTAACTAATACTTAAAATATAACTACCATGCCTCAAAGTATGTAGTTTCATTAAAGTCATACTTATACTGCATACAATTATTAAAAAAATTAATTTTAATAAGTACCTAAGTATATTAACTTATGGATAGCCAGTTCATGCCAAATACAAGTACATTTAATAAAATGAAGTACCATTTTCAGAGTTAGCCACCATTTGCAGCTGGTGGTCTAATCCTGTTCTGAGGTAGCAACTTCAGTTTCATCAATTCTAGCTTCTTCGAATTTGTTGTATATGTCGCTCTTGTAGAACTGCCTAGTTCTAAGCACCAAAATGAGTGACACAAGCGCCCCAAACATGCAAACTGTAGCGATTATAATGAAAGCTAATTTGTAGCACTCACTCCCAATACAGTTCAATTCCTCCCCATTCTTTTCCTTTAGCCCCAATTCTTCCTTTTGCCTTCTGGCTTCCCTGTCATACAGATACCCTGCAACCCTCACACTGAGAAAGTATGACCCAATAGGATTTGCTAATGACCCAACATTGTACAATGTTGAATAATGTTTTAGGCCAAAAATTTCAGATATTATGGATTGGATTAATGGGAAGGTTGCCCCAAAGCAGAACCCAGTAATAATTGAAGCCACATAGAGACCATTTGGGACATCGAATGCAATTAAAAGGTGACTAACACAAGATAATCCAAGGATTGATGTGAGTATGAGAGGCCTAGGGACTTTGAATTTGATTATGATAAATTCTGAGACAACCCCTTGTGCTAGTTTACCTAGACAGATCCAAATGGCCGCAAGGGAGACAAATGTGATTATAGTTTGTGCAGGATATCCTAATGAGGCTCCAATCTGACTTAAATTATTTATCACAGTCAGGTTGCTACCAACTCCACTAACAGCAGCCAATAGAAGAATCGCCATGTCAAGGCTAAAAATGGCTTGAAGTATTGTATAGTCTTCACCTCTTTCTGGGGTCTCGAGTATGTTTTTCCAACAAGAAACTCTTTCTTGTATAGTTTGTTCTTCATGGGGAGCATGTGGATACTTCTCTTGATAAGGATCTTCTGTGGTTATGGTTACATTCAAGAGCCCTTGACGATCTTCTTGTTTGCTCTTCCAAATCCTGTGTTCTTCAACAATAACAACAGCAAGTGGAAGGATGAGCAAGAGAAGCATGACACTGGTAGTAACATAATACTCTTTCTGTGTGAAGGGGAAACATTTTTGTACTATGATTACAATCATGAGAAACCCTGCAAGGACTATTATCAAATAGAGGAACCTGTAGAATGCTTTGGCGTCATTTGGGTGTTGAATACCCCTGTGTTTTCTGATAACTGGAAGGAACACAAAAGCTGTAGCGGTTGGTAGCCATGCCAAAAGCAAAATTAGAGATTTGGTGTCATTTCCGTAGAAGGCATAGCGTAACTGAGTGATTATTGCTGCACTCAAACCAAGATACCCACTTAAAATGCCTAAGATAATGCCTCTTACACCAGGGAAATTCTTAATACTGGTCACCAGAGCTGCAGTGTTTGTTGAGCAATGAGAATTGGCTCCTATGATGATGTACAAGCACATGTTCCACAGTTGGGGTTCTGCAATTTTTCTTGTGACTACAAGCCAAATCATGAAGTAGCCAAAAAAATTGAGAACCCCCCCAATTGTTAAGATTACCCAAGGGGGTGTGATTTCATAGATAAGGCCAGAAAGAATGCCTACGCTGTCACCGAAGTCCTTGAGGGAGCTTAACAGATTGAGAGTGGATTGGTCATAGCCAAGAACAGACTTGATATCTTGGGAGTAGAGACTAAACATGTAGCTTGCTCCAGACACTGACAAGATCATAAATGATGAAAACATCATGAACCACCTCCCTGTAAGGACTAGGAGGGAAAACTCTTTGATTCTTGCCCAACCATTTCCATCAACTCTTCCAAACACCATTTTTCTCAGTTGCAAAGTTCAGTAGATAGCTGGTTAGCAGATTTTTCGTGAGATTCGATATACTCCCATGCTAACTCCTACTAGGGGGATATTTTGTGTATTAAATGTACAATTGAATTAACATTGAAATGATTAAATTTTTAATTTTTAAATTATTTGATTCCATAATGGAGATTTGGCCCACTAATTAAGGGTTAGGAGTTTAATCTGTGGATTAAAAATCGGTAACCATCCTTTTTGGAGAGGTAAAAATTTTCTCCTCACAGTAATACTCTGAAACAATAAATCACATATGCATGACAATGACGACAATCCTTACGCCCATGGCCGTGGGACCAATTTAAATTGCGATAAAGATGTGAGATGAGACGGAAACCAACCTCGTTGCTGGTGCTCCTCGAAGCACGATTCGGTATATGTTTATTTATAGGTGCGGGATACTTGACATAAGCAATATTATTTGTTTAACTAATTTATAATTTATTTTTTATTATAAAAAAAGTCTTTTGTTATAATTTAAGGAGAGTATTGATACCTTCAATAGTTGGTGTAGTATAAATTTTACCTTGTTTATATTCAGATAAATAATATCACTGATTTGATAGGAAAAAGAGATACTTCTCTATTTTTTTAATATTTATAAAAAATATATTATTAAAATAATATTATTTTAAAACTAATTCTCTATGTGGATTATTTTTATCATTTTATCACAAGTTTTGTATAGACAAAATTCTTATTTGTTTTGAAAAATAGTTTTATATATTAAAATGACCAAACCTTGGACCAATGATAACCGTAAAAATTTTAGTAAGTTTTGTAGGGGAGAAATTCATTTTTTTATTAAAAAAAATCAAATTTAAATTTTGATGGCCAAAAATAAGTGAAAGTACATGGCATGATTAGGTAAGTTTTGCGTCTTATACCTGACACAAGTAATTTAATTTTTTTATATTTTATATTATGATAAATAATTGACTATAATGGTTAAATTTTTATAATTTATTTAAAATTGGTTAAAGAAATTTAGTGTTTTTATCTTCTAAGATTTACTTGTCTTTAATAAAAGGTTACTAGTAATTTTTAATGTATTTAATATTAAATCTATATTCATTGATTCATTAATTGACGGAGTTATAATTAATTTAGTGAGCTTCATGTCATGTATTTCTACTCATTCTCAATTGTCCAAATTTAAATTTAAATTTTCTCTAAAAAAAAGAAGTTTTGTTCTTATTAGAGACAAAACTTGCTACAATTTTAACATATGTTATTGTTCTAAAGTTTCATCCTTTTAATATACAAATTATTATAAAAAAATAAAATTTCGCACATACAATGCGAAACTTGTGATGACATCATAAAAATGTCACAAAAAGAAAATTAATTTTAAAATAATATTATTTTAATAATTTATTTTAAAAATATTAAAAAATTAAAAAGCCAAAAAGAGAGAAGGTAAAAATAAAGTGAAAAGAGTGATTTTAAAAAATATTAAGCTCAATCACAATAAAATAAAATAAAATAAAGTGAATTTAGATTAATGAGATTCTAATTATAATCTGAGTTGAAAAAATATTCATTAATCTCCTTCCATTATTTTTACAAATTTGTTCTTTTTCTTATTTGCCTCATTTTAATTTTTCAAACATTTCTGCTTTTCCTATTTTTTTTTCCTTTGTATGCAACTGTACTTTTTTTTTCATTTCATTTCTTTTATTTTTGTTACTTTTTCTTTAAACAATCTTGTCATGTTCATATATTTTTACTTAGTACAATATTTTTGAAAATTTTGCTATGCTGCATTTTTCTAGTACAAGTTTTTCATCCTAAACTTAAGAATTGCTTGTCTTTAAGTAATATTAATTTAATCCTAAATTTAATATTTAAAATTCATCATTTAATTTTTACTAAAGCCAACACCTTATTATCAGTAAGTTGGTGATTTATTGGATTTTTACTTTTATGGTTTGTAATGTTAGATTTTAAGGAAAAGAAATTAAAATTTAAGCTTAAAAGGTTTGACAAAAGATAAAATATGAGGTAGGCATTTTGGTTTAAGCGACTATTATTCAAACAAGGCCTCAATTACATGTACACATATGAAATGCAATTTTTTCTTTCTTTTCTCCATTGGAGGAGGAGGTTTCACTCATTGCAATTCTTTTGTAGTAGATATAATACTCCAAATTTTTGCCATTTCTAAATAATTATTTTATGTATTATAAATAAATTAGAAATATATATGCTTAGTAAAATTTATCTAAAATGAAACTTATTAAGGAAGAATTAGGTAATGTAGGTAGAGATTAATCACTAAAAAATTTTAGACAATTATAAAATTTAGCCAAAATAACCAAAATACTCTTAGAAGGACCTAGAATAATGGCCCATTTTGGACAAGCAAATGAATGAATTAAAATTCAAAATTTTTATGGTAGTTGATGCATAGGAAGACCATGTTAGACGTGCCAAATGGGAGACCAAAAAGTATTAAAAAACCTGTACAAAAATCTTGCTATGAGGTCAAAATTCACATGAAATGAGAGCTAAATTTGCTAAAAATTTGGGCAACAAGTTATGCAATTAATTGGAAGTTATGTGAACCTAATATTGCTTAAGGGATAAGCCTAATACAAGCTAATCATGGCCTTATCCTAGCTGGACAAGATTATTCAATAACCATCAATCAAGTTAAGCCAATTTAGGAGTGTAATGATTAGAATCTTGACTAATAATTAGGTTTAGTTCCAATCTAATTGGATCATTGTAATCATGGCATTCCTCATGAAAAAGGGACTATAATCACTTCATAAAGTAACTAAAAGGATTGAGAAGCAACTAGGAGAATTGAAATGCAATTGAATAAGTGTGCCATTTTGTAGTAGTTTTTGGTATACATTTTGGCACTTATTTGTGTCCTTTTTAACTAGTTTATACTTCAAAGTCCTTTTAATTTGACACAATTTACAATCCATACCAATTAAAGTCTAGCTACTTAAATGTAGTGGTTATTTACCTTTATTTGTGTGATTATATGAAAACATTTAATCATCTTTTCTTGCGTCAAATATTAAAGGAAAGGCATTATGGAATGAAGAGTGAAAAGAAGAGAAGCAAAGTCCCCAAAACCAACAAGTCTTGCCTAAGCAAGTTGTGGGTTGCTTGAGCGAGGATGTCAAGTTGCAAGGTCTGCATTCTGCCGCACCCTTACTTGAGTGAGATGATCCTCGCTTGAGCAACAAGAGACTCGCCTGAGCGAGATAGTCTAGAACTTTCAAAGCACCTTTGTCTGAATCTTGTTTGAGCAAGAAAAGGTTCGCTCAAGCAAGCAATCATTAATTACCCTAAATCAGAAGAGCCTAAGAAGGAGAGGGAATCGAATGCCATGAACCTAACTTGGTTTCTGGGAATATAAAGTAAGAAAAGAACGAGGGAAGGTGGCTACACCAATGGAAAGCTAAATTCTATCCCTTTTCCATGTATCTTCTTGTTGTTATGTACACTATGAGTGATTAGAACTTCATTGGGGATTTGATGTAATCTTAACTTTTTGAGTATTTTGGTTCATTAATATAGTTTATTTATTTTCCATGAGTTGGGTGTGTTTATCTTAATATTAATGCTTGTTTCTACCTTACGGGGAATGATTCATGATTTGGGAACTTGGGGTGAGTTAGAAAACTACCTTAGGACCCAAGTGAGATAAATTCACATAATAGGTCGAGATTTTAGGAATAGGTTTTAATTTATTGTATGCTCAATAAATCTTGATATTAATGCTAGATTATTTATTATTTAGGTAAGAAATTATCACTCAATAAATATATCTTAGAATCTTGGGTAAGAGGAATCCAATGAGTGAATATAATGGGAGTGCATAATAAAATCTTGGTATTTGTTCAAACTTATTATGACTAAAATATGAAGTTAGTGATAGATGAAATTCAATCCCTACTTTTTATCACTGTAGTAAATTTGTATTTTATCATTTCATCTTAATTTTCATGAATCCAATCAATCAAAACCAAACAATTAGCTGTAAATTTTTGAATTTTTTTTTTATTTTAATCTAGATATTGAAAATTGTTCAAGTATTAACACTCTCTGTGGACATGACAACTTCTTATACTATATCGAAAGTTTGGTACACTTGCCAAAATCCTTAACAATAAGGAATCAAGGACAAAAGTCATGAAGGACATTTGTGGTCTTTGCAAAGTGGCACATGTGTAGCCTTGAGAAAGAAGCTTAAAATGGCCCACATTGAAACTTAAACACTTAGCATAAAGAGGGAAAGTGGGTCGTGAGGTATGTCACAACCCTTTTTTGGGAAGGATATGTGACATACTGTCCAATTAAAACTTGTATAAATTTTAAACATTTAAAAAGAATTAAACTTAACTCAGGACGTTTGACAAAAAATAAAAATTGAATATCTCAATGATAAAATAAGGACTCATTATTAAATTCTAAACATATATATATATATATATAATAATCTTTTAGCAATATTTACATCAAAACAGCTCAACATGAAGTTTAAGAACTGCTCAACACGAGATTTTTAATATTTACATCAAAACTACTCAACATGAGATTTTTCCTAGCCCTAACTGTGAATTTAGCTACTTATGCTAAAGAAAGAAACTAAAGCAATTGTAAACAAAGTAATAAACAAAGATGAAAAGCAAACTAGAAGGAAGTTCTCGTTCTTCAAGTCCAGTCACTTGAAGCTCTAAGTCCCATCAGGAATGTGTCAGAGATCCCGTGTGATACAAGCAAATTGAATTAAAAATACAGTAGTATTCTTTGCGTAAAATTCCTAACTAGCAAGTATATTAGGTAGTTGTAGCAAGTAATAAAATTTGGAAATCAATATGAGTCCTAAGTATCATCCACAAGGATCTTATTTTCAATTACTAATTCACAATTCAACAATTATTTGAGCCACACAATTCATTTAGAAGATTTGTACACATGTAAAAGTAAGGAATAAAAATAAAGAAAGGTAACAATTGTGCTATAAAAACAAAATACAAAAT